TAATACTGTTTATTATAAACAGAGCATCGTATTTATTTACTTAAATATTTGTATCTATAAAAAGAATGTTAAACATAAAAAATGTCTTTAATAAATTGTCGGACTTTGTCCAATTCTTAATGTACTATGTCATATGCATGTCTCATAGGGATAAGACTGTGGCCGCCAATAATAAATCCTGGTAGGACTTCTAAATCTCCCAGAATTGCTTTACTTTATAAGTTAAATAAGTCCTGTGTGAAGATAAAGCTTTGTCTTATACCCGTTTCTATTTTTGTATATTTACTGAATTCATTTTCTATCTCTATGCTGGTGATTTGCTGTCAGTATGAGTTCTGGATTATTCTAATATCCTTTTTATGTTCTGTAAAACTTCGTTATTGCTCACTTGTTTAGTCCGTGGTATTCTCAGCATCCTTCTGTAGAACCATATTTTGTTAAGTTTCTTCTTCACCTGTGAGAAGATTGTCCAACACTCACTGTCATATAGGAAGACAGGTATTAGGTAACTTTTCAGGAATATTTTATTTTTCTGTTTGTTAAATACACTGCTTAACATTTGAAAGGCATATTTTGCTGTCCCAATTTGACTTCGAATTTTGGTGTCGCACTTTCCGTCCTTTTATTAAAACACTTTCCCAGATATTTAAATTGTTTTACTTCTCTGATTTTGGTATATGTAATGTGTGTGCTGGGCTGTCCCTTTTGCTAACAAACATGCATTCTGTCCTCTCCCAATTGATGTTTACGACTATTCTACTAGCTTTCTTTCACTGCTTTCTGTAGGAGTTCTTGAGGATTCCTTTCTCTGTCATCTCTATATCTGATATAACTACGATTGTGTCGGCCAATAATAAATCCTAGTAGGACACCTATTCTCTCAGAATCGCTTCACTATATACTTTGAATGAATCTGGCGAGACGACACATCCTTGTCTTACACTACTTTCTCTTTCTGCATATTTACTGAACTGAATTTCTGTTAGTATGCAGGCGGTTTGATGCTTGGATAGGTTCTGGATCATTCTAATATCTTTCCCAAATATGTTATGGTTAACGAGCAGTTCCAACAGTTATTTGATGCGTGATGTTGCTTAAAGATCCCTGGACAGGCCCTTCGTCAGACAATCAAACAGGGTAGAGTGCATTAGCTATTGACTTTGACAGGTGAACGAAAACATGGAGATCTGAATTACTAAAGGGAAATAGCTGAAACTAAAATATCTAGAAAAAAGGCATGGCACGTGGAATAAGAACAATCAAACCCAATGGACGAAATAAAAAAATAAAAGGTTCGATTCGAAATTACAACATATATCAATCGAAGAAGGTCGGAGTATACAACGGCCGAAATGACGTGAATACGACAACAAATATGAGGACAACAGTCCGAACAATGTAAATAGTTAGAATAACTCATCTCGGAAATATAGACATAACCTGAAGAAGGCCAGTGTGTACATCGGCCGAAACGTCGTGAATATGACGACAAAGATGAGAACAACAGTCCGAATAATGGTAATAGTGTAAATAGTTACAATATCTCATCTCAGAAATATGGACAGAGATAGGGAAATGTACCTATGTAAATAAAAAATAGGTATAAAATAGCATATATATATATATATATATATATATATATATATAAAGGAATATACTCTTAAGATGTGCTATATTTATGGGATAAAGTGCTCAATATCAGAGATAGAGCGTGTGTAAATATAAAAGTGAACACAGAAGTCAACACTTAGAAGCGACAGGCTGTTTCATGCTATTTTTCTCGGCTGAAAGATAACACCACTCGTAGCCTGACGATTGCATCTAGCATGAAACAGACTGTCGCCTCTAAGTGTTGACTTCTATGTTCACTTTTATATATATATATATATATATATATATATATTACTGCGTAAGTAAGGTTGGTTGGGAACCTTGTGGCACACGGTGCACCACTTCGCTGTATTCGACTCTTCAAAAAGTGTGGATGGTTCTGCACAAACCCTTCACCACTATAATCAAATCATATGTGTAGGTGTCTGACTGTCCGTTCCTAGGAACTGAGCTGCTTGACCCTTATACGTCGAATACGACGGTGGGAGGTCTTAAATATATGTGTATGTGTGTATATATATATATGTGTATGGATTGTCGGATCCTCATATCTCGAAATCGACGGGAGAGTTAATCATGAGAGACCATTCAGAAGTTTTAGCCCTCAATATTCATATGAAGAGGCAAAATGCATTGAAAATACCTTTAAGCTCTTACAACACCCTAATTATTTCATATTCATCGCGAAACAAAAGGCACGTAAAATATTTCAAAATTGAAGAGTGAGTCATACTGACAAACCCAACGAATCAAAATATATTAATCTGCCCACCCAAACTGTCACAAGAAGAACTGAAAAGAATTTATCTAAGCTTATCATAAAATTTGATACAACTGCTTCTAAAGCAATAAAAGACATAATTCATACAAAACAAAATTTACTCTGTAACCGACAAGGGATACATAAGAGAAACCTCAAGGAATTTAAATGAAATATCATATGAACACAAAAAGGGTTTTTTTTTACGAAACAACTGACTAAATGGATTTGTTAATCACCCTAATGAGTTTGACGGTAATTTTAATTTAAAAAAATGCAACTTTAATCAAATAGAAAGCAATTTACTAAGACGTAAGACGTAGTGTTGGGAATTGTTAGTTTTCTTCGATGTAACATCGCTATGTCTAATAAAAGCTACGGTCTCGACACCAAAATAGAATTACAACTGCGTATGTATGTATGCCCGGACACATGGATTTATATCTGCGTCTAGACTCGATTATATATATGGATGTGTTCGTATGAACTAAAATGCGTACACCTGTATGTATGTGTGTCTGTGTTTATGAAAGTGTCACCACAAACAAACACATAAGCAGATTCCCCCTCCCACCACCAAACATAGTAAAACAAGTATAAATAAATCCAATTTTAAAAAATAAACCAGTTAGTCCGAAAAAGCGTGAAACCCAGGGTTACAAACTCATATCGATATAGCTGAATATGTTAGCTCTATCACTGATAGGCAGTGCTTTCCACTAAGTACTGCGCAAATAAAATTTGTAATTATATTCATATTTCGGCCGTTGTACGCTCTGGCCTTCTTGATATACGTTGATATAGGTTTTAATTTTGAAGCAAACCCTTTATTTCGTCCCTTGTGGGGGAGGATGTTCTAATTCCACGTGCCATGGCTTTTCTAGATATGTTAGTTTCAGTTAATTTCCTTTAGTAACTCAACTCTCCAAGTTTTTGTCCACCTCTGCTAAAGCCAATGGCTAATACACACTGCCCCACTTCATTGTCTGACGAAGGGTCAGTACATTGCTCCCAGTAACTTTAAGCAACAACCCGCACGAAAGAACTGTTAGAACTGCTTGGTAACCATAACATTATTCACCACACCACCTGCACACCCGAGCTTACAAGCTGTCAGGCGTCTATGTACTGACCAGGGTCGACATGGCTTTACTTCCGGGATCGTACGGGAACCGTTGTTTTAACGTGATATGGCGGTGATATATATATATATATTAGTGGTCAATATATATATATATATATATTAGTGGTCAATATATATATATATATATATATATATATTGGTCAATATATATATATATATATATATATATATATATATATATATATATATATATATATATATATATATATATATATATATATATATATATATATATATATTATATCAATATATATATATATATATATATATATATATATATATATATATATATATATACCCAGGAGGAAAGAATTCAGGTAGAAATCAATGTCCGGGACAGAGCAAGAATATAATATAAAAGGCTCAAACACTATATGGTTATAATTTATTACATTGGAATTGAAATCACGATCAATTCATCAGACCTACAAATTCAATTTTTTTCTTTTTTTGAATTTGTAGGTCTGATGAATTGGTTCGTGATTTGATTCCTATGTAATGAATTATAACCATGGAATATTAGTGTTTGAGCCTTTATATATATATTATATATATATATATATATATATATATATATATATATATATATATATATATATATATATATCGCAAGGGTGGATTCATAATAACAAAAGTGATAAAAACAAAACCAAATCCAAAAAGAAACTAAATATAGTTGGCTATGTCCAAAGATATCTTTATTAAAAATGAAAAAAATGTTCTTGATACACCCAAACTTCGCAAATTTCAATGATTGATCTATGAACTTTTCAGCGTCTACTTGTATGTAGGATAAAATTTTATTGCGGTCTGTACTTTTCTCTTTTTTTGTTGTTTCAAACTACTTCTGAAATCTCAGAGAAAGAAACGTGAAAAAAGACATTATTTAATTCTGGCAACATATCGATTTTCGATTGTTTTGTTTTGTTTTTTTCGTATCAAAGCGAGACAATGATTGGTTTGTGTTAATGGGCTGGCTGTCAGGGTTTGATACTCGGGTCGTGAAATTATTTCACTGCGTTAAGGTATGAAATTACAATGATATAAACCTGATTTCTTTTCTAGAAATTTCTTGGATAGTTCCAACCGAAACATATTAAACTTTCAATTTTATTCAGCTGAAAACCTTCCTTCGACATAGTAGACTAGACGAGACTGCAGACAGACACGCAAACACACCACACACATACACACAACAACAAAAACAACACAAACAATAAGAGACCTCAATAGAATGTGGAAAGCACTAGAGGCCGTTTCGTCCTTTTTGGGACATATCAGCAGTGAATGTACACTACTCAATGAATTATTATATAAAATTAATTAAATCGCCAATCTTTATCTTTATATATATATATATATATATATATATATATATATATATATATATAGTCTTCTTGATTTCAACATGTGTGTCGAACAACTCAATCTATTCAAGTCTTTATGTATGAGATAAGATTCTTAACAAGGGAAAGGCTCTCTAAC